GGGCATAGAGGAGAAACAATAATGTACAGTATGTGGAAAATAATGTGTTTTTTTAACCTTAAACTGCATAAACACATTTCATTACACCAAATACACAAAATAATGTTCTTTTTAGCAACATCATATGACCCCTTTAACTAAATAATCATTCAACACAATCACAAAGCAAGACAGAGGTCAGAGCTGCAGCCCACCAGACTTTTCCCCAATGGATCTCTGAGGACCTGCTCTTCAACAAAAACCTGTGACCAAAATAAAATATTGTAATGGTGTTGGCAGCTGTTGTAATTGTGAGTGAGTGCAGTCAAGCGTCATGTAGGTGGAGGGCTGAGTGCTCCTAGGGCCTCATTGTTACTGCAATGTAAACATTCAGGGCAGCTGCAGCGGGGTCCCATTGGTCAGCTTCCTCTTTACTCTCCGTTCAGCACACACACTCTTCCTGTCAGGCATGTAAGGTCAAAGCTTAGCTAAATTTAGTGCCATTAGCCTTGGCTTATGGTCCTTTACTGCCGTGGCCTATAAAAGGCAGTGAGCTGCCTCTAAACCAGATCAAACCAAACACAGTCTCAGACACAACCTCTGCACAACAATCAGCACTGCGATCCTACAAGCTTGTCCTTCAGGTAAGTTTGAGATATCTGATTTACTGAATGGTCTATGTTCATTACAACTAAACATTTCTTGACTCTTTAAAAAAAAGGTTCTTTATTGGCATCTATAGTTCCATGAAGAACATCTATTGAAACCTTCTATTGCACAAAGGATTCTTTGCAGTGAAAAATCGCTCTTTAGAATATTAAGATGCTTTTCACAATAAGAAAAAAAAGTTATTGTAAGAACTATTCACTAAAAGGTTATTTTAGAACCCAAAATTGGGAACCCCTTTTGGATGCTTTATTTTTCCATTGCACAACAGGCTCTTGATAATGGAATAATGGAAAAGATTTTTTGTCTTAAATGTTCTTCACACTAAGAAAAAAAAATTATTTTAAGAACTGATCACATAAAGGTTCTTTGGTGAACCAAAATTGGTGCTTCATAGTGGAAAAGTTTGTTAGAATTTTAAAATGTTCTTCACTCTAAGAAAAACAATGGTGCTTTTAAGAACAGTTTACTATATAGGTTCTTTGGTGAGAAGAAAACAAAAATTGGTTCTTATATTGCCTTGTTGCAAAAACCCCCTTTTGGAACTTTTATTTTTAAGAGTGTAGATACAGAATACAAGAAATACTAACAATCTCTCATCTCTCTCCAGGATGAAACCCAGAAGATTACTCTTGTCTGTGGCTACTCTACCGACAATAATAGAGTCGCATGAGGACCTCTCGCAGTCCCTGGAGGAATATATGAACTCCATCAAGGAACTTGCCCAGCCTGCTTGCGGCCCTTTGAGGATATCCAGGACTCAGAGGCGTAAGCCCATGGGGAAGCATGCTGGTTCTACCTCAACGTCACGCAGCGCTTCCCGGGCTCTGCACCCCCGCCGCACTTCCCTGGGTCTGGACGAGGTCACGCTGAGGTTCAACAGTCAGGTGGACAGGGGCTCTAAAGACCCACTGGACTGGTTGTTTGCGCAGACGCATTAACAGTCACACAGAGAGGATTTGCGCAGGACTGTCAGTGCACCTGCTGCTTTGCGGTTACTCTAATGAGCCAAAGCATAACGTCATATTG